CCTGTGTGCTGTCACCCATGCCAAAAGAGACATGTGAGGAGCAAAACCCAGCTGATAAAGATGGTTGACATCACCAAGCTCCTCCAAACCACCAGGGGCAAGAAGAGGCAGGAAGAGAGGTGTTTGTGGGACAAGCACAAGGTCCTGACCCTCTTCTAAGAGGAGGACCTAGAGCTGTTGTGTCCCCTGTGCACTCAACACTCTGACCACCAGGAGAGGCACATGGAGGCGGCTGCCTGTCATCACAGGCGAAGGCGCAGCAGGTACATTAATCTCTCAAGAAGCAGGTGGCAGACGTTCAGAAATTAATAAGCATTAAAAGCAAAAAAAACTCTTAGAACTGAGAGAAGGTAGAAAACCAGACTGAAATTACTCTCTGAATCTGAGCACATGAGGCGGTTTTTAGAACATGAGCAAGAAGCAGATCTTTCAAGATTAGCTGATGAAGAAAAGGCTCTTGAAAAGAAACTCAGTGCTAATATAACCACATTTTCAAAGTGCAATTCCACATCCAAAGACCTACTAAGTAAGGTAGTACAGTGCACTGCACTGAGGGAAATAGAATGGCTGTTTATTTATCTTCCACAACTTCCATTTCATGCTCTTCCTCCTCTAGCCTGAATGAGCTTTCTGGAGTGCCGCACAAATACACTCCTTTATCTTTTCAGAATCCAACTCATGTTTCAAGATCCCAGCCAAACAAAACTTCTCTGTAAAACTTGTCCAGACAAGTATTTTCTTTCTACTTGAAAACTCCTATGAAACACTCACATCTCCAAATGAAAGGGGAAGGCAAGATGCCTCCTGAAGCCAAATAATTTTGTCATTTTCACCATTAATAACTACATTCCTACCTGTAGAACATATCTCGTTTTTGCCCACACCATATCTCTTCTCTCTTCTTTTGTGACAACTCTATTTTCGTGGGGGACCTACCATCTACCTCTGCATTAAGTCTCAATGGGAACATCTTTCAATATTCTTTCTTCCCCCTCCTGAGGCCTAGGGGTGGTCATGGAACTAAAGGGATCTGGGCAATTCAACTCTGTGAGCAGTAAAACCAAGGGGGACCCTGGTTAACGCAGATCCATTCCAGGGCAGACTCTGACAGGACTTGAGCTGCCCTTGTTGGGTCCTTTCAGAGGCCTGTGTTCATCTGCCCCATTTCAGAGAAATGCCTGCATTCCTTAAATTAACCAGAGTTCCTTTCACTGCTAGCAAACATTAACCTCCACTAAAAAGCCTTCACCTTTTTGTAGTCTCAGTGTCTGGGCCTATGACATAGCAGATCATTTTTAACTTTTTACTGAATGGTAGCATTGATGTCCACAAAATACCAAAACAGGCAACTTGCTCAAATAGACAGTGATTTAGCTATGTAATTGTTGTTGAGACAGATTTCTAGAATTGTACTCATTGTAAAGCTAAAAGCTACAGAACCAAGAACTCAGGGGTAGCTAAGCATCAACCAAACAGCATTTACAAAAAACAAACAAACAAAAAAAACACAACAAAAAACACTCAGTGCATACATTTTTCACATTTACAAAAAACAAACAAACAAAAAAAACACTCAGTGCATACATTTTTCTCTTTTTATCTATTCATTTTATTTCCATACATTGTCAGTTCATGAAACCCCCCCCCTTAAAAATTTAGAATCAAATTGTCGTTCAAGTTTATTTCATTCTCTGTAAGATATATATTTTTAAGACTATATTTTTACTGATTTCAGAGAGGAAGGGAGGGAGAGATAGAAACATCGATGAGAGATTATCAATGATCAGCTGCTTCCCTGCTCACCCCCTATCAAGCATCGAGCTAGCAATCTGGGCATGTGCCCTTGACTGGAATTGAACCAGGGATGCTTCAGTCCCGAGTCCAACACTCTCTGCACTGAGTCAAACTGGCCAGGGCCAAATTGTCTTTAAATATGAGTCTCACATCTACTTCCAGGTAAAAAAGGAGGAATTTTCAGTCTTATTAAAAACTGTTTGGTTATTTTTTTTAATATATTTTATTGATTTTTACAGAGAGGAAGGGAGAGAGATAGTTAGAAACATCAATGAGAGAGAGACATCGATCAGCTGCCTCCTGCACATCTCCTATTGGGGATGTGCCCACAACCCAGGTACATGCCCTTGACCGGAATCGAACCTGGGACCTTTCAGTCCGCAGGCCGACGCTCTATCCACTGAGCCAAACCGGTTTCAGCCTGTTTGGTTATTTTTTACTAGATTAATTAAATGACAGTAGCACTTACCATCTAAGCTCTCATAGGACTTGAACTGTTTCATATGTCTTGCTTGATGGACCTCATTCAGTGATAAGATCACAGTAATATTTCTATTAATTTATTAATCCAAATTAGTGCTTTAATATCTCTCAACTTTGTATTTTTCAAGTCACTCATCTTATTTTGTGCCAGTAGTAAAACTGAGTTGATTCTAGGTACAAATATGTTTCCCCTAGAAATGTTGCAACACACTTAAGAAAAGATTTTTGCAATTATGCTATCACTCCGTACACTGTAAAATAGGGCACTGTATTCTAGTAATCTGCTTTGGCTCCATCTAAGAAAGGAGACTCAAAAATCCTTCCATTCGTACCATGCCTGCCTAAATGTAAAACATCCATTGTTTTTCTCCAAAGTCAGTTTCCTGATGATGACAGCCACAGGTCTGCCTGTGGGACGCTCTCGTGGCTGGCCTGACTATAGCAGCCTCTCCAGGTCCCATAGTCATTCAGAGCCAAGTCAGGGGACCCGCGAGGAGAGATTTGCCCCAGTGGGATAGAGTGGAGCCCAGCAGCCGGGTGCCCAAGCTACACAGGGAGCCTGGACTGTGGGGCCAGGTGCAGCACTCAGTTCCTGGAGCAGATGCGCATGGTACGTGGGTGGGCACCTTCTTGAGACCCAGCCCCTGCGCAGCAAGCCATGCCCCCCAACAGCTGACACTGGCAGGGAACTAGGAAAATAAGGCTGAAGCCGATGTGTCAGGGACCCCACCCAACCCTGGTGCCTCCTCCTGTAAATATGCACTCCAGGCCAGTCCTGCTCATTAGGCTCTATTTAGCCCCTGCGCAGCAAGCCATGTGACACAACAGGTTTTCCCACATTGCTTACACTCATAAGGTTTTCCCCCAGTATATGTTCTTCCATGCTTTCTAAGAGACTTGGAGAAAGTGAACACTTTACCACATTTCTTACACTCATACATTTCTCCACTGTGTGTGCTTAAATGGCCGGGCATGTGCAGGATGCAACCAACTGATTTCTCATATCTATATTGCTCTGTCTTTCTCTCTGACTTCCACTATCTCAATGGAAAAATATCCTCACGTGAGGACAAAAAAAAAAAAAAAAAGAACTAGGATGATCAAAAGCTTTTCTAAAATCTTTATACGACAGGGCTTATTTTCAGTGTGAGTTTTCATTTATTACAATTTCTCTTCACGGTTAGTGTTTTTGTGATTTTGAAGGGAACTGGATGAATAAAGGATTTCCCCCATGACTTACATTCATAGGATTTTTCTTCATTATAAGTTCTTTTTTTAAAAATATATATTTTATTGATTTTTTACAGAAAGAAAGGGAGAGGGATAGAGAGTCAGAAACATTGAGGAGAGAGAAACATCAATTCAGCTGCCCCCTGCACACTACCCACTGGGTATGTGCCCGCAACCAAGGTACATGCCCCTGACCAGAATCAAACCCGGGACCCCTCAGTCCGCAGGCTGACACTCCATCCCCTGAACCAAACCAGTCAGGGCTTCATTATAAGTTCTTTAATGATACAGGAGGGAACTTAGATAAGAGAAAGTCTTGCCACATTGCTTATATTCATAGAGTTTTCCCTCACTATGAGTTCTTTCATGATGTCAGAAGGAACTTGGACAAGAGAAAGTTTTTTTAAAATATTTTTTTTTATTTAATTTTTTCTTACAGAGAGGGAGAGGGATAGAGTTAAAAGCATCGATGAGAAACAAACATCAATCAGCTGCTTCCTGCACAACCCCTACTGGGGATGGGCCCACAACCAAGGTAGATGCCCTTGACCAAAATTGAACCTGGGACCTTTCAGTCCGCAGGCCAAAGCTCTATCCACTGAGCCAAACGATTAGGGCAAGAGAAAGCTTTACCCCAATGGTTACATTCATAGGGTTTTTTCCCCAAGTATGAATTTTTTTATGATTTCTAAGCAAAGAGGGATGAAGGAAATTTTACCACATTCTTTACATTCATGAGGCATCTTTCCATGATGAGTTATTGTATGTTCTCTAAGACATTTGGTAGAAAAGAAGGCTTTCTCACATTCCTTAGTCATAGTTTATCCCCAGTATGCATTCTTTCATGATTTCGAAGAGAAGCGGAATATATGAGTTTTCCTATATTGCTTACATTCATACGGTTTCCAGTATGCATCCACATGCCAACGCTCTATCCAGCGAGCCAAACCAGCTAAGGCCGTCATGTCTTCTTTTATGATTTCCAAGAGAGCTGCGCAAACTGAATACTTTCCCACATTGCTCACATATACAGGGTTTTTCCTTATGATGAGTCCTTTCATGACTTTGGAGGGAAGATGGATAAGAGAAAGCTTTATCACAATAATTACATTCATAACATTTTGCCCCAGTGTGAGTACTTTCATAAAGTCGGAGGTAATTTTGATCATAAAACATTTTACCACACTGTGTACATTCAGGAGACTTCTTTCCAGCATGACTTTTTTTTTAATGATTTCCAAGAGAGCTGGGGAAAACGAAGGCTTTCCCTCATTCCTTACATTGATACAGTTTTTCCCCAGTATGCATTTTTTTGTGATATTGAATGGAAGTTGAAGAGAAAACTTTACCATAAACCTTACATTTATAGGGTTTTCCCCCAGTATGGGTTCTTTCATGATACTGGAGAGAAGATTGGTAATAGAAACCTTTACCATAATGCTTACATCCATAGCATTTTACCCGAGTATGTGTTCTTTCATGACCTCTAAGGGAATAGGGATGACGGAATGTTTTACCACATTCCTTACATTCATAAGGCTTTTTTCGGTCATGATTTCCTTTATGTTTTCAAAGAGAATTGCTATAATGAAAAGCTTACCCACATTGCTTACATTCATATGGTTTTTGCCCAGTATGCAGTCTTTCATGAGTTCTAAGGAAAGTGGGATAAAGGAAACGTTTACCACATTCTTTACATTCATGAGGCTTTTTTCCGTCATGCTTTCCTTTATGTTTTTTAAGAGAGCCACTAGAATGGAAGGCTTTCCCACATTGTTTACATTCAAAGGGTTTCTCTCCAGTATGCATTCTTTCATGATTTTTAAGAGAAATGGAACGTATGAAAGCTTTCCCACATTGTTTACATTCAAAGGGTTTCTCTCCAGTATGCATTCTTTCATGATTTTTAAGATTATTGTTATGTGTGAAAGCTTTCCCACATTGCTTACATTCATATGGTTTTTCCCCAGTATGCAGTCTTTCATGAATTCTAAGTAAAGAGGGATAAAGGAATATTTTACCACATTCCTTACATTCATGAAGCTTGTTTTCGTCATGATTTTTTTTATGTTTTCCAAAAGACCTGCTATAAGAGAAGGCTTTCCCACATTGCTTACATTTATACGGCTTCTCCCCAGTATGCATTTTTTCATGAGTTTGAAGAGAAGTAGAAAATATAAAAGCATTCCCACGTTGCTTACATTCATAGGGCTTTTCTCCACATTGTGTCTGTTGATGCTCTCGATAAGACTTTGGACAACTGAAGGTTTTCCCACATTGCTTACATCCATAGGGTGTTTCCCTGTTATGAGTTCTTTTATGATTTTGGAGAGAAGTTGAATCAGAGAAAACTTTACCACAAAGCTTACATTCATATGGTTTTTCCCCTGTATGCATTCTTTGATGAATTATAAGGGAATAGCGATGATAGAATATTTCACCACATTCCTTACATTCATGAGGCTTCTTTTCATCATGACTTCTTTTATGTGTTTCAAGAGAGCTGAGCCAACTGAAGACTTTCCCACATTCCTTATATTCATCAGGTTTCTCTCCAGGATGTGTTCTTTCATGATTTCTTAGCCAAGTGGAACTGAAAGCTTTTTCAGATTTCTTACATTGATAGGGACTTTCTGCAGTGTGTGCTCTTTCATTTTCTACAGAGTACTTGGAAGAACTGAAAGCTTTGCCAAATTGCTTACTCTGATATGGTTTCTCTCCACTATGCGTATTTTTGTGAAGTTTAAAGTAACTGAGATGACTAAAGACTTTCCCACATTGCTTACACTCATACAGTATCCCAGGAATATGCATTCTTTCATGATTTCTAAGGGAAGCTGAATAGTGGAAAGCTTTCGCACTGGGGCTGCCTTCATGTCTTTGGATATGTTGGTGAGGCTTGAAAGCTTTCTCAGGATCCTTACATTTATAAGGGTTTTCGTCATATTCCTGACACAGGTATAGTTTGAGTCCAATGTGAGAGCTCAGGTGGTTATTCAAGGATAAATAATGCATGAAGATTTGCCTACACAACCTGGATTTAGGTTGTTTTATTTCAGTAGGAGTTTCCTTCTTCTCATTATGATTTGGAATCTGGCTGAAGTTTTCTCTGCAGTGACTACTATCCTTTGTACAGAGTCTCTCTACCATATGACTGCTGTAAAAATCAGAAGCATATTATTAATACTCTGTTAACAATTTAGTATTTATTAATAGCATGAAATGACATTTTTACCATTTTCAAAGAAAGGGTGGAGCTTCTGAACATTCCATTTTTTAATGTGGATATCCTAAAACTTCTGATATAGGCAGGATCATAGATATTATAAAAACACTGATATTCATTAATGGTACTTCTGCATATTATTTCCCAGTATAATTATTTTGTACACTAAACATATAGGTCATATTTCAGAAAAAACATTTTGATGAGATTATTCTAAGAGTCAATGCATTTAAAACTGGGCTGATACAATTGGATTATCTGTTTTTAAGATTCTTTTTTGGACTGGTCCTATATGGCTCTGTGGTTCAGGAAGGACCCATGCACCAGGGGCATACCAGTTTAATTCTCTGAAAGGGAAAATGGCCAGACTGCAGATTTATTAAACCCAGTACAGGGCATGCAGGAAGCAGTCTATTGATTTTTCTATCTCTCCCTCTCACCTCCACAGACTAAAATCAATAAAAACATATTTTTGTACCACCAGCGAGGCTCAGTGCTTGAGCACGGACCTCTGAACCAGGTGGTCATCTTCAGTGTCTGGTCAGGGCATAGTCCCAGGTTCTGGACATGATTCCAAATGTGGGGCATGCAGGAGGCAGTCATCAATAATTCTCTGTCATCATTGATGTTTCTTTCTCTTTCTCCCTCTTTCTACCTCACTGAAATAAATTTTAAAAATATTAAATATATAAATAAAATATATAAGAAGCTATTTTTAAAAAACATAAAGATGCTCTTAATGCTTTATCATGTCAATGCAACTCACCTAAGATTCATCCCATGATTTTCATACCAATCTTCATTGTCATGGTCGTCACATTGTTCTTCTAAAATACATGCTAGAAAATGCATTATAAACTATTAAAGAATATAAAAAATGGTTAGATTTTAAGTACACAATGAGCTGTGATCATTCCTGGTTTAATTACCAATGTATTCCCTTTTCATATTTCAGTTCCTGACACATCATTAATGAGCAAGCAATACTAGTTTTCTAATTGCCTACATAACTAACAAGTGGTTACAGGCCAGAGGTGCTCTGTGGTTGACCGTCAACCTATGAACCGGTATGAACGTGCAGGTCACAGGTGAATTTCCAGTAGGACTGATTTTCAGGCTAGATCCCCAGTGTGAGGTGTGATGAGGTACCCAATCAGTGACTCTGTCTCATCATTGATTTTGCTCTCATTCTTTACCTCTCCTTCCTCTTTGAAATCAATAAAAATATAGTTTTAAAAAAAAGAATTTGTTATACCTACCTACTGATGCCAGGTTCCAGAAGGTTTCCAGCATCACATCTGTGTAGAGTTTCTTCTGGGTGGGATCGAGGAAAGCCCACTCCTCCGTGGTGAACTCCACATTAACATCCTCAAAGGCCACTGAGTCCTAAAACATCCCACATATACATATAGGAGAATGAGTGAGATAGACAGATATACATAATTCATAAAAGTTCACATAGGACTTGTGGTCCCCAACATTCAGTCTATGACTTGACTGTAGTAAGACTATTATTAATTTGCCAAACTCACTTCCCCCAGAACACATGGAACTTACTGATATGATTTTACTGTGATCACTTCAAGTCTGCATTGCTCTCTCTAATTTCAGAGTACAGAGCACCTTGAACAACTTCTATATTAATACATGAAAATACTTCTATTTTAAGCCCATCAATTCCTTGTGAGAAAACTCATCTCCATTATAACCACCATTTTATGCAGCCGTGCATGAAACATACTGTCATGTGTGCATAAAGTTTTAGTGACTGTGAATCCAAAAAATAACTGTATTATGCCCTCATCTATAGCTCTGTTATTCAGGAATATTTTGTTTTGCAGAAAGGACAATATTCCATGTCATTTGCAAGTATTGCTGATTCTTAAACTTTTTGTTTTTTAGATATAAGGAAGCTTTTTAATATATGTATTTATTGAATTTTTGCAGAGAGGGAGAGGGATAGTTAGAAACATCGATCAGCTGCCTCCTGCACACTCCCTACTGGGGATGTGCTCCCAACCAAGGTACGTGCACTTGACTGGAATCAAACCTGGAACCCTTCAGTTCCCAGGCCGACGCTCTATCCACTGGGCCAAACCGGTCAGAGCAAGTAGGCATATTTTTATCTCCATCTTTACAGGCTCATTTTGTTGATAAGTTAGGTGATTAAGATGTTATTCTTTTTATTCTGATGTAACTGTTTCCCTGTTTATTCTGATGTAACTGTAGGTCTAATAATGTATGAAAGGTCCACTTGGGGATTACATGAATGGGACTGGATTCACAATCATAACAATAGCTAATATTTATTGATTATTATGTTGCAGCCACAGTTCCAAGAGCTTTACTTTTATCATTTTATTTAATCGCCATATCCTCTGAAGTAGACATTCCAATCATCCTCATTTTACAACAAAAGGGCGCCAAGATATTTTGAGAGCTCAAATTCATCCGGGAACAGTTTTAGGGCTAACTGCCAGGTGCTGGGTGAT